ACGCACAAACATGAATCCGACTAACCATCATACTTCCTTTTTCCCTCAAACAAGAACCATTCACAACCCCAAACGCCAATTGGTCACAACAGCCAAATGAATGTTCACTTACACAAACACTTCAAAACGTCAAAAATCATTACAAAGAACAAATGAAAATTCAAGACAGCGCACGAACAAGAACAAGATATAATCTGCCGAGAAGAAGTTTGAGAAATCACAGTCGAAAACAAGAACTATTATTGATAATATTACACTCACATAAACAGCATATAAAAACATAGGGTATCAATTCATCACATGATTTCTCCTCATAATCAACACATGATCAGAGCCTTAAAAGCTGATAATGAATTTGATAAAATACACATAATTAAACTACTTCACAGCAATATAAAGCTCAGAAAAAACAGAGTACACACAGCCAATCTTCACATTAAAATAGTTTAAACACGCTTTTGTGGTTCTTAAACTAGAATTATCAATGTCTCTTCTTGCAAAAAAAAAAAAAACAGAGTACACACTACCTTCATCTTCCGAGTAGAATTATCAATGTCTTCTCTTGCTTGGTGCTTCTTCAACTCTCTTTTCTTTGAAAAATCACGTCGGCGCTTACGGTTTTTGGGGTCAAATTTTGGGAGGTCTGTGTCAATGTCGCCGTCATTCTTTGGAACATCCGCACCCACTTCACTCGAATTTGATTCTTTCTCGTCATGAATATCGAAATCCGAATCAGACTGTTGTTGATTCTTTGGTGTTTCAACAATTTTGGCCTCGACCCTGTTTCTTCGAACCCTCTTATTCTTCGTGTCTGGGGTCATCTTTTTCGCTTTTTGTTTCATTTGATGTTGTGAGACGAAATCGTCGTCGTCGTCCGACTCATCTTCGGCGGTCTTCTCTATTTTCTGAAATTGAAGTTTTTTTTGTATAATCTTTCGCTCGCGGGGTTGAAATTGGGCTTTGCGACGAGATCGGGAGCGAGTAATCCTTGCTTCGTCTTCACTTTTGGAGGGTTTGCTCTCGATTTTGTTTTCCTTTGCCATTGTTATTCACAATTTCAACGGCAAAAATGTGGTACACTGCGGTATTGACACGACTCGTCGGAGAAACGTCCTCAGGTTCTGGGTAACCTGAGGATTTTGGGCGAGTGGTCGGAAAGATGTCCTTCTGATGCTGGAGGTTCGCCGGTGATATCTAGGTTCATGTGATGAGGTTTTTTCTTTCAATTGAGATCTGAATGTATTTTTTTTTTGGGAGAGAGATGGTTGATAGTGTTCTATTTTTACAGTTCTATTTTCTCGAGATTTGGAGAGAGTGAAAGATTTTCAGCTTTTTTTTTAGGAGGATGAGTGTAAATATGGAGAGAAGATCACTTTTCCCGAGAATCATGTGTAAGAGATAATGCAGTATATACTTAATTGTATTTAACGGTTAATTAGGCCAATTTAACCGCCCTAATTATCATTTTAATTATCCCCCTAACGTAATTCTGATTAAAAAATGTTGGGTTCGTAAATCTGTTATTATTTTGTGCCTAGAGTGTAAATTGTGTAAATTTCTCAAATTAATTGCCTTTTTTTAGAAGTTTCCCCCTTTTTAAAGGATAAAGAAGCACCGAAGTAATGTCTAAACCAAATGATTTCAAATTCAGAATAAAATAATCTAAGAACAACGAGACGAAGTAGTTCTTCTTAGAATTAACTCTCCGAATAAAAAGATAAATAAAGACAAATAGACGAATAAAACAAACATCTCATAGGTTCTTAAAAATATAACTTAATATTAAAGAAGAAATTAAACCATCTTCTTAAAAATAGTCAATTTCTTTCTTGTTGAATATATATATTTTTTTTTGTTCTCCTGAATCCATTGTTCTCATGTTCGGAGGTAGGTTATGACCGCGGCTGATCTATATAATTGGAGTTTGGTGTATAGTGGTGTTTTATGAGTTAATGCCTAGTGTGAATGGTGAATCTAACAATATATAATATTTTATTAGGGTGGTGTTTGTAATTTTTGAACTTAAATAGACAAGTAAAATATTTTGGTGTGTTAGTGGCCTAATTTATTAGGTTGGGCTAGAAACATAATAATTTTTTTAAAACTTATAGTTGTTAAAAAATAAAAATATCAAGCCTGGACTTCAGCTCAGCGGCTCAGCCCCAACGTAAATCCGTCCATGTCCGATTTGCATTTGCAACAATCAGTTGATTGTTCGGTTTGTATTTGTCGTTGAGGTGTTATGAAGTTAGTTTGTCG